GGGCACAGGCTCCGCCCAGGGCCTGAGCACTGTCCTTGCTGCAGAGGACGGCCGGCTGCACAAGGCGGTGGACGTGGGCTCCAGCTTGCACGTCATTGAGGAACTCCAGATCTTCTCGCCAGGGCAGCCCGTGCAGAACCTGCTCCTGGACCCCAACCGGGTAAGCAGGCGGCAAAGGCCAGTCAGCGCGCGTGGGGTGCCCCTCTGCTGATAAGCTGTTAGAAAGTGAGTGCCCGGGCCCTAGCCTGTGTTGCTCAGTGGATAGAGCATCGGCCTGCAAACTGAAGTCCTGGGTTCGATTCCGGTCAAGGGCTCATACTTCGATTGCAGGCTACTCCCTGGCCCGGACCCTGGTCCGGGTACGTGCAGGAGGCAACCAATCGATGTGTCTCTCTCACATCAGTGTTTCTCTCTCTGTTTCTCCCCCTCCCACTCTCTCTAAAAATCAATGGAAAAATATCCTTGGGTGGAGAGGATTCAAAAATAAATTAATTAAAAAAATAAAGAAGAAAAAAGTGGGTGCCCAGAAGCATGGGAGGAGGCCCTGGGGGAGTGGCTCAGGTTGGGCACGGGAGCCAGGGGTAGCTGTGGGTGGTGGCCCGGGCTGCCATGCCTGTCTCTGATCCCCGTGTCTGTGCAGGGACTGGTGTACGCAGCCTCATACTCGGGTGTAGTCCAGGTGCCCGTGGCCAACTGCGACCTGTATCAGAGCTGCGGCGACTGCCTCCTGGCCCGGGACCCCTACTGCGCTTGGGGCGGCAACAGGTGCCGTCGCCTCAGCCTCTACCGCCCGGAGGCGACCTCCAGGTGAGAGTCCTGAAAGCCTTCCCCCGTCCATCCCTGTGCGCGACCTCAGAGCGCCTTCCCCGGGCTCTCTGAGAATCCCCGCACAGCTCCGTTTGCGTCCACTCTCTTGTTGTAATTATTATTTGTTAAATACTAGAGGCCCGATGCACAAATTCCAGCAAGAGTAGGCCTTCCTTCTCCCGGCCGCTGGCACTGGGACCTGGGGTTCCCTCACAGCCCCAAGGACGTCCGGTCTAATTAGCATATTACACTTTTATTATTATGGATTTTTATTGATTTCAGAGAGGAAGGGAGAGGGAGAGAGAGATAGAAACATCAATGATGAGAGAGAATCATTGATTGGCTGCCTCCTCCACACCCCACACTGGGGATCGAGCCCACAATCCGGGCATGTGCCCTTGTCCGAGAATCGAATTTTGACCTCCTGGTTCATAGGTTGACATATTTTAAGTGAAATCAGGACCTGCCCCATTTGTAGTGTCCTTGTTTAAAAAAAAAGAAAGAAAGAAAAAATTATTTGAAGTGGCCTAGTCAAAATAATATAATTTTTTAAAAAGTTGTTTTCAAAATGACTTGTTTGGGTTATAAAATGTTTATATATGCCCTAGCCAGTTTGGCTCAGTAGATAGAGCATCAGCCTGTGGACTGAAGGGTCCCAGGTTTGATTCCCGGTCAGGGCACGTGCCCAGGTTGTGGGCTCCACCCCAGTAGGGGGCATGCAAAAGGCAGCCAATCAATGATTTGCTCTCATCATTGATGTTTCTATCTCCCTCTCCCCTCCTCTCTAAAATAAAAAGAAATAAATTAAAAATAAATAAATAAAATAAAATGTTTGTATAGAAAACTTAGAAAATAGAGATAAGCCCAATCAAAACATAACTACCCCTAAACCCACCACCTAGAGAGAATCATGTGAGAATTTGATGTCTACCCTCCCAGACTTCTCTATGTATGTGTAAAACAAAAGAGCATGCATTTTAAGTGGAAACAAGACCTGCCCCCACTTGTCGTGTCCCTGCTTCACACAGGGGGACCCCAGTGCCAGCTTCCTATTTCACAAAATCTCATGTGACTACACACACGGACTCTGGGAGGGGACACGCCAAACACGCTCCTTCTCATGGTCCCTGGATGCTGGTTTTTACAGTGTTTTCAGCCTTGGTTCTTGTTTGAATCGTTCTGAGGTTCTTGGTTACATTTTATGCAACAAGTCGGTGCGTGGGCATGGATTTTAGAGACAGCTATCTGCCCCATCTGGGTGGCTCAGTTGGTTGGAGGGCCATCCTGTACACCAAGCATGTCAAACTCAAAGGCTCACACGGGCCCAATAAACAAGGTTTAAGTGTATGTGGCCGCAAAAAATCCAAAGCGTCCATTTTCATAGAAATGTAGGTTTATTTCGATAGAGATATGCAAAATACAAAGGGCTGAAATAAGTGAGTGATCATTAACGTGAAATAATAGAACATTTTAATAAAAATTGCCGCACCGGTTTGGCTCAGTGGACAGAGCGTCGGCCTGTGGACTGAAGGGTCCCAGGTTCGATTCCGGTCAAGCGCATGTACCTTGGTTGCGGGCACATCCCCAGTGGGGGGCGTGCAGGAGGCAGCTGATCGATGTTTCTCTCTCATCGATGTTTCTGGCTCTCTGTCCCTCTCCCTTCCTCTCTGTAAAAAATCAATAAAATACATTAAAAAAATGATAATAATATTTTTTTTTCTTGAACATTCACTTACCAGACACTGAGTAATGGCACACATGAATAAGTGTAATGCAGATAAACCTATTTTTCTTGTTCTCCGAAAGCGAAATATTACCTGTTGGACACACCAAGCATATCAGTCCAAGGCTAACAACGTGGCCATCGGCTGCTAAAATATTCGCTGCTGGTATCAGCGGAGAGAAATGGTGTGCCTGTGCGGAAGGCGCGTTAGGGAAATGAATGCAACACGATGATAGTAATCAGTCATTAGCGAATGATGTAGTGTATTAATGATTATGTATAACAGGATATTGTAAAAACTAAGTCATGACATTTTTACTAAAACGTTTCTTACATAGCGTTATATTGGCTGGGCTGCAAAAATATTCATTGTGGGCCGTGAGTTTGACATGCTTGCTGTACACCAAAAGGTGGTGGGTTCAGTCCCTGGTCAGGGTGCGTCCGGGAGGCAACCAATCGATGTTTCTCCCATCGATGTTTCTATTCCTCTCTCTCCCTCTCCCCTCCTCTCTCTCTCTCAAATCAATAAACATATCCTTGGGTGAGGATTAAAAAAAAGACAGGCAGCCAAAACCGGTTTGGCTCAATGGATAGAGCGATAAATAAAAATAAAAAAAAGACAGGCAGACAGACACACACAGCTATATACACACAGAGCCAGATGTCCTTCCTGTGTTGTAAGGCTTGTGCTGCTTCTGTAATGCAGGGGAGGATTACGGTAACTTTTACTTGAAATAACTACCGGGAAACAGGAGATGCTCGCCTGCTTTTACCCCTGCTCTGGGCCTGCTGGTCCCTGAGCCCCGGGCCCTTGCCTCCAGGGCTGCACCTGGGGATAGGGGTGCAGGCCCACAGGGCACCCTGGCCTATCCCAGGCTCTCTTTGTTCCTCAGGCTGTGGATCCAGGACATCGAGGGAACTAACGCCAGGGACCTCTGCAACGCTTCCTTCATCAAGTCCCGGGGTGCTGCACCAGCAGGTAAGGTGCCCGTCGGAGGATGGAGGGAGGCAGGGGCCAAGCTGCTTAGAAGACTCCTGAATTCAGGCACTGGCGGGAGTAAATGCCTTTTGCTCCCATCCTGGTCCCTCCAGCCTGCAGGCGAGGCCCTGGGAAGTGGAAGTCACAGTCCCCAGAGTCCTCAGAGTTGCCACGGTGGCCTGATGGGCGCTGCCCAGCGGGAGGTGGGTGAGCTGGGGCTGTGGTGCACGCCAGGCCCCCTTGGCCCCATGTCTGTGCCTCTCCTGCCCGCAGGTGAGAAGCCGTGTGAGCCAGTCCCGTTCCAGCCCAACACGGTGAACACCTTGGCCTGCCCCCTGCTCTCCAACCTGGCGACGCGGCTCTGGCTGCACAACAGGCAGCCTGTCAATGGCTCGGCCTCCTGCCGGGTGCTGCCCACGGGGGACCTGCTGCTGGTGGGCAGTCAGCAGGAGCTGGGGGTGTTCCAATGCTGGTCGCTGGAGGGGGGCTTCCGGCAGCTGGTGGCTAACTACTGCGCGGTGGTGTTGGACACGGCGGCAGACCGGCGGGGCAAAGGGTCCGTCGTCATCAACACGTCGAGGGTGAGCGCGCCCGCCCACGGCAAGGCCAGCTGGGGCGCGGGCCGGTCCTATTGGACCGAGTTCCTGGTGATGAGCGTGCTGTTCGTGCTGGTCATCGTGCTCCTGATCCTGTTCTTCCTCTACCGGCACCGCGACGGCATGAAGGTCTTCCTGAAGCAGGGGGAGCGTGCCAGCGTGCACCCCAAGACCCGCCCAGTGGTGCTGCCGCCCGAGACCCGGCCGCTCAACGGCGTCGGTCCCCCGAGCATCCCGCCGGACCACCGAGGCTACCAGGCCCTGTCGGACAACTCCCCGGGGCCGCAGGTCTTCACGGAGTCCGAGAAGAGGCCGCTCAGCATCCACGACAGCTTCGTGGAGGTGTCCCCGGTGTGCCCCCGGCCCCGGGTCCGCCTGGGCTCTGAGATCCGGGACTCGGTGGTGTGACAGTGACTTCCAGAGGAGGCCACCCTGCCTTCAGAGTGCCCTGGATGTTCGGAGGCATTGGCTGGACTCTGCTCTTGTAGAGTCTGGCTGGACACGGCGCTGTGCCCAGCCCTCCGGGGTAGCGGGGCCCTTCAACCGGCCCCGTTGGAGGAGTGAGGCCCCTCCAGCCCAGATGCCATGGCCCCGCGGAAGATGGGCGGGCGCCCGCCTAGGTGGGCAGAGCAGTGCTCCTCATGTAAGCTGAGCCTTTTGTGTAAAAAAAAAAAAAAAACCACTGAAAATGTGAAATAAGAACGATGCCATGGGCACGGCCGCTCCAGCTCGCAGCCCCCAGCCTCGGGGTCTGGCCCTGGTTGGGGTTTTGGAAACATCCACCGTGGTGAGTGGAGACGGAGTTGGGAACCTCTGCCTTATGCTACTGCCACAGGCGGCCCGTCACTGCTGGGACGGGGGCCGGCTCCGGCTCCGTGGGTCCTGCCTGGCCACCGGCCAAGTTGTTACGGCCACCATCCCGTCACCTCAGGGACCGAGGGCCACGCTTATGCGGCCCTCACGTGGCCTGGGCTCCAGCCACCTCCGGACCTCTCCGGCCTGTATCAGGCCGTGGCCACGTGACAGCAGGCCGCGTGAGCTCAGGAGTTAGGACGATGTTCACCTTTCCCTCGGAATTCTAGGAAGAGACTGTTGTTGGCTGCCTTCCTCTGTCCAGACTGAAACCCGTGTCCCCCGTCCCGGATCCACCCAGCGCGTCTCGGTGCCCAGTCCCCCTTCACTCCCACACTTCACCTGCCTCCGATCTAAGGGAGTTGACGCTGCCCAGCACAAGGGCCTGAATTTATGTGGGTTTTATATTTTTTTTAAGTCAGATGCACTTTACATTTGTTCTGTTTTTTTTGTATTTTAAATAAAATCTCAAGAACTGAAATTGAATCGTAGCCCTTGCTCTTAAAGGACTGTTGACCTAGCCATGGCTCAGTGGATTGAGCGTCGGCCTGCAGACCAAAGGGTCCCGGGTGCGATTCGGGTCAAGGGCACGGACCTCGGTTGCAGGCTCTTCCCTGGCCCAGGCCCTGGTTGGGGCTCACACAGGAGGCAACCAATCAGTGTGTTTCTCTCACATCGATGTTTCTCTTGTCTTTCCCTCTCTCTTTCCTACTCTCCCTAAAAATCAATGGATGAGGATTAACAAAATGAAATAAAACAGATATAAACTGACTAAATTAACTAGAAGGGGAAAACAATCTACTAAAGTAAAAGTGAAAAATAAAAAAATGAAAGGACTGTTGCTTTTTGAGGTTGGTCTAATCTTCTGAATTCTGAGAGTTCTGAACTTCCTGTTCCCAGGGGTCAGGGGTCAGGGGGTCAGAGCCAGCCCGCCTGCCCGCCGACATCTCAACCTTTCACTCTGGTCAGGGGTCGGGGCACAGGGAACAGGGTTTCTATTTAACTCTTAAAATTCTTTTTTTTATTTTTAAAATACTCATTCAATAAATACTTTTTAAAACGTATGTATGTGTATACATATATATATATATATATATTTTTTTTTGTTAACCACTGAGCGACACCGGCCGGGCTACAGTAACTTCTTTTTCCTTTTGGCAAACGGCTTTATAATGTTAATGTAGAAATTCATGTCATCACCACCACAATCAGGATTCAAAGGGTTCCCTCCCCCACGGGTCCCCTCATATTCAGCGCCCCACTCTGCCTCCCTGCTGGTCCCTTCTCCGAAGTTGGTCAGTCCCATCACAACCGGAGTCTCCTAGAAGTCCAGTCCTTCCTCATAACCAGCATTTCCAGTGTCACACCCAGAATCAAAACGTCTTAACCTTTATTACTGATTAGCAGAAACACAGAGCGGTGACAACGGCAGTGAGAAGGGGTGAGGCACGGACTGGGAGCGCCCTTCCCTGCCTGGGACAAGACTGCGCAGTGCCAGCTCGACCGGGCCAGCTCGGCCGGCCCTGGCAACACAGGCGTAACCTTGGCCACGGCTCAGCGGTGTCAAGGTTATTGTACGGCGGCTGGGGAATCGGCTGCGTGGCTCCTGTCACAGGACGATCTTGAAGGAGCTGAACAAGAGAACAGTGGGTTTGATTCGCTGCTGGAAGAGGAGGGTGAGAACTAAACCCAAACGTACCCACCTCTCCCCCAAGACCCTTTGGAATGGGCTGTGTCTCGAGTCTGTCAGTCCCCTTTGGGAGAAGAGCTACCCTGAGATATTCAGAGGAGGCGGGGGTGGGGGGGCTTTCCCTGGCATCCCCCCCCCATAATAACATCCTAGACCCAGATGCCACAGGCGGGACCACTGTCATACTTGGCAAAGTCCGGTGAACGGGAAATAACGTGCTGGAACTCGGAGAGATTGATGGTCCCGTCCCTGTCGATATCGGACTCTTCCAGGATCTGGGCAAAGGGAGAGTGTCAGGCCCAAGCCCTCCCTTGGCTCCCAGCCCGGCCTGGCTCGGCCCAGCCCAGCCCGGCTCCCTCCGTCAGGGCCGCCCTGCTGGGCCCAGCTGCTCACATTGTCAATGAGCTGTTTCATCTCGGAAGCGCTGAGCCGCGTGTCCTCGCCCTCCCCCGTGAGGCAGTTCACGAGCTGGCTTAGGTCTTCTCTGTTCAAGGTTCCATCTGGCCCGGCCCAGCCCGGCCCGGCTCGGTTAGGGCCGCGCCCTGCGGCCCAGCTGCTCACATTGTCAATGAGCTGTTTCATCTCGGAAGCGCTGAGCCGCGTGTCCTCGCCCTCCCCCGTGAGGCAGTTCACGAGCTGGCTTAGGTCTTCTCTGTTCAAGGTTCCATCGTCATCGAAATCTACAGAACAGAGCAGACCCGGGAAGCCAGGGCTGACCGCAGCTCCCGAGCAGCCCCGCCCAAAGGACCCCCCCCTGGGAAAGGCCCTGTGCTCCGCGAGGCTCCCCCAGTCCTCACCGAAGATGCGGAAGGCGTAGTGGGACAGGGCCGCCCTGCTGGGCCCAGCTGCTCACATTGTCAATGAGCTGTTTCATCTCGGAAGCGCTGAGCCGCGTGTCCTCGCCCTCCCCCGTGAGGCAGTTCACGAGCTGGCTTAGGTCTTCTCTGTTCAAGGTTCCATCATCATCGAAATCTACAGAACAGACCCGGGAAGCCAGGGCTGACAGCAGCGCCCGGCCAGCCCCGCCCAAAGGACCCCCCCGCCCCCAAAGGCCCTGTGCTCCCCGAGGCTCCCCCGGGTCCTCACCGAAGATGCGGAAGGCGTAGTGGGACTTGATGTCTGGCGTTGCCGTGTCACTGAACACGCTGAGGAGGTCCAGGAAATCCTCAAAGCTCAAGCTGTCTCGGGCCGGGGAGGTGGAGAAGACCCTGCAGATGCGCTCCCTGAAGGGGTTGGCCTGGGACAGGGATGGCGAACCTTTTGAGCTCGGCATGTCAGCATTTTGAAAAACCCTCACTTAACTCTGGTGCCGTGTCACAGATAGAAATTTTTTGATCTATGCAACCATAGTAAAACAAAGATTTATATTTTTGATATTTATTTTATAGATTTAAATGCCATTTAACAAAGAAAAATCAACCAAAAAAATGAGTTCGCGTGTCACAGTAATAAGACAGCTTCCAGAAGGACTCAAAGCCCAGTGAACCTCCTCCTGTTCGGCAAACATCTCACGGCGTTGGACCAATGGGGCCTCATTTTCAGCATTAAATCAGAACAGCCTCAAATCAAGCTCCGCCGAAGAAGGGCCTGACTGGGACTCAAATATTTCCTCCGTTCATTCAATAATGACTTTCTGAGTGCTCACTAGATACCTGGCTCCTTGCTAGGCCCTAGAGCTATGCATTCGTACGAAGAAACTGGCTCAACAAGCGTAGGGAAATAGCCAGGAACCAAAGATGGTAGAAGTATGTAATTCCTGCATTTAGAGTACTTAGATGCTTAATAGATGCTTAATGAATACACAAGTAAATGAAAACTCAGCATTTGGAACCCACTGTTTCTAGAGCTCTAGGGAGCAGTCTTCCTTGACTATCGAGTATGGATTTCAAAGGGCTAATGCGGTCAACCAAAAACATGAGTTCGCGTGTCAGAGGTGACACGCGTGTCATAGGTTCGCCATCACTGGCCTAGGAAGAGAGCCTCCATGAACCGGAGGGGACAGTCCCTGAACCTGCACCATGAGCGCAGGCTCGGGCAGAGAATGACCAGTCCTTTTCCGAAGGCAGGAGGACCAGGGACATCGCTGGGGAGGGGACAAGGATGGCTACTGGGAATCAGAGGTTAACCCACAGGTAGGCCTGGGGGCAGAGAAGGAAGAGGAGGGCACGCTAAGCAAAGAGAACATTTAATTAAACACGTGTTGTGCCCGAGCCCGTTAGGGTCAGTGAACAGAGCGTCGGCCTGGGGACCAAAGGGTCCTGGGTTCGATTCCAGTCAAGGGCACGAACCTTGGTTGCAGGCTTCTCCCTGGCCCGTCAGGGCTTGTGCAGGAGGCAACCAATTGATGTGTTTCTCTCACGTCGATGTTTCTCTCTCTCCCTCCCCCTCCCTTCCACTCTCCCTAAAATTCAATGGGATAATATTCTTGGGTGAGGAATAACAAAAAATAAATAAATAAATAAATAGCTCCGGCTGGTGTGGCTCAGTGGATAGAGCATCAGCCTGTGGACTGAAGGGTCCCCGGTTGCAATCCTGTCAAGGGCACATGCCCAGATTTATGGGTTTGATCACCAGTAGGGGGCGTGCAGGAGGCAGCCGATCAATGAGTCTCATCATTGATGTTTCTCTCTTCCTCTCCCTTCCTCTCTGAAATCAATAAAAACATATAAAAATTAATGAATTAAAATAAACGCCTGTGTTACAGGCACTCGGCCCAGCCCCCTTGCATTTTCACAGCCCTCAGGAGAGGTAGTCAGCCTCTGGAAGTGGGGATCTCAAACTTGAGGGCAACTCCACTCCTCTTAAAGGACCGAGCTGCTTTTGACGGGCCAAGAATGTGTTCCTAGAATCCTGATTTGAAAAACGCCGTTCCTTGCCCTGACCGGTTTGGCTCAGTGGATAGAGCGACGGCCTGTGGACTCAAGGGTCCCGGG